AGCCCCACATGCTTCTCCCTCTATATCTCTTTCCCACATGCTGTCCCCGGCCCAGCAGCATGTGTCAGCTACTGGGCCACGCGTTGTCAAGTCTGTCCTTAACCCTGAGCACCCACATCTAAGTGCCTGGCTCCCCAGAGAAGCTGAGCCTGCCCGCGGGCAGGAGGAAATGCTCCTCTGCCTCCCTCGTTCCCCAAGTGAGGCTTCAGCTTCCCCAGAGCAGAGGTGGCATTGGTCATGGTGCTGGCTTGGGGGCAAAGCCATGGCCGTGGAGAGGAGCGGGTGCAGGCCTGTGTCTCTCCTGGGATCCCTGTGCCTTCACCTCCTAAAGAGGCCCATCTGGGCTAATTACCTGGCCAGCAGCACACTTTGTTTCTCTCCCCAAGAGGTAGCCCAGGAGAGCAGCTGGGTTTTTATGGGGGTGGAGGGTTAGCAGTGGGTGTGGGGGATCTTTGGACCTTGGCCATGAGAATGCACAGGGCTGCTCTGACACCTTGTGAGGACTTCCGGTCCAAGAGCCCCTCTTAGATTTGATGTGAGAGATGCTGCCTGATCCTTGGTTTCCAGGGTGTGGGCTGGGATTCTAGTCAAAAGGATATCAGAGGTAGGGTCCTGGCTGGTTTGGGGCCTGAGGAGGAGACTGAAGTCTTAGTTATTGTCCCAAATATCCACACTCGCTGTAATCCAGAAATCAAGACAAGGATTCAGCAGGGGTGTTCCTGCGGGCCCAGCACCATCTTCCCACCCTGCAGGAACTGAAGGTGGAGCTCCCCAGGTACCCATCCCTCCCAGGCACAGAGGCTGCCAGGAATTCCTCCTAGGCCTCCGGTCCCCCTTTGGATTGGCAGGGAGGATATTGAAGCTCTCGTTCTAGCTACTTCACCAACTTTTCCTTGTGACCTTGACCCAGTCCTTTCCTCTCTTTGTATCCATTTCCTTCTCAAGAAATGAAGGCACTGGGCTGATGGTCTCTGTCACCTGTCCAGGTCTGACACTCCGTGGGGAAAACAGTGATCTGAGGGTGTGGGCAGCCAAGGCTGGGAGCTTCGATTCCACCCCTGTGGCTCTTCTCCTTCATCCCTGTCACATCATCACCTCCCTTTGGGCCCAGGGGTCCAAAAGCTCCCATTTCAAGGAGATTAAAGGCCCCCATACCTACACCAGGGCTGTAGCTCTCCCCTCCTCCCCAGGTGGGGGCTGGTAGGGAAATTCTCCCTCCCTCCCTTTCTCTGCCCAAGGGGTCCTGCCCCTGTCCCCGTGCCCTGCCACTCTTCTATGCTGCCCGGTGTTATCCTCCTCCAGACGTGGGCGACGCAGGGTGAGATGGGGAGCAGATATGCAGGAGCTGCCCCTGCCAGTCACACCAGCAACTCCTCTCGAACTCTGCCTCCCACTGCTGCCAGAGACTGCGATCTGGTGGCTGATAGCTGTCCTGGGCCTCACCCTCTTGGCAGCTCTGGGTTTCAGTACCTGGGAGACAGGCAGGGCAAGTTGGAGCCCTCAACTGACTTCACACTTACCTTTTAAGGACAGCATGGGTGGCAGGTGTGAAGAGACATGGAGCTGAGGGAAGGGGCGCCTGTCTCTCCAGAGACCCCACCTCTTCTGCAATACATGTGGTTCTGGAGTGGGAGTGCCTGGGTTCTCGTTTCCATTCCACCACTTTCATCGGTGGGTTCTTGGACAATTTCTTTTATCTCTCCAAGTCTCCTCTCTGCCATCTGTAAAGTAAGGGTAAGAATAAGAATCCCTTCCTGACAATGTTAGTTTTTAGATTCAATGAGACTCCCTGCTGTAGACCCAGCACAGTGCATGGGCCGCTGAAAACACTCGGGTAGCAACCTACGAAAAACAAAATGAAGATGAATCTATGTCTGTATATGTATGACTGAACTATTATGCTGTACACCAGAAAATTGACACATTGTACTGACTATACTTCAATTCAAAAAAAAAAAAAGAAAGGAAGCACTTGTAAGAGGTTAACTGTTAGTACAATGATCACTATCATTCTTTTGTTCTCGGACTGAATGGAATCTCAAGATGCCATTTCATTCTTCCCCCTGCTTCCTCCAGGCCGGCGATTCCCAAACTTGTCGGCCCATTAAAACCCCTGGGACCTTTTAAAAAATTCCAAAGCCCAGCCTGCCCCCCAGATGAGTGAAATCCCGGTCTCTAGGGATGGGCACAGGCACCCGAAGTTTTTGAAGCTCTCCAGGTGATTCCAACATGTAGCAAGTTTCGAAACTGCTGCTCCCTGCCATCCAACAATTGAAGGGTTTTCTTTAGGGATAGCATTTTGACCTAGAAACCCCACCCACTGTCTAACACTGACCTGAGGTTAAGTAACTCCTTCAGTACAAGTGAACTCTCTCTTGCCTCACTTTAAGCCAACTTTCTCTTGTGTGGAGGGAAGAGAGAACAGCTATCGGCCTCCACCAAAGGCTCAGTTAGCAGCATTTGCTGGGCACCCCCTTACCCCAGCGCTTCATGGGAGTCACCACCTGACGAGTTAGATCGGGGTGTGGGCACTGGGTGCTGGTATAGTCACAGCCAGAGATCAAAGCGGTTTCGTAAACTCTGCTGTCTGGGTTTCCTAAACTCTGTTATTTCATCCCAATTGAATACTTCTCCCTATTCAGCCTGGCAGTAAGATAAACCTGGGGAAGATTCTTGTTTATTTCATTGGCAGTAGAGACACACATGAAGGGTTTAATTATGGGCATCCTTCATACCAAGAGTTGAAAGTGAGTGATGCAAAAAGCATCGCAGCAGGTGAGAGCTCAGCTCACGTGGTCCAGAGCCTCCAGGGAAGACGACGACGACGTGAGGGTGGCGGGGGCGGGAACTCCACTTGCATGACCCTTTGGAGTTTGCATATTGGGTCAGCTATCCACTAGAGTCAGCCTGTGAAGCTAGGATTATTGGCCTTATTTCACAGGCCAGGAAATTGAGGCTCAAGGAGCTAAGTGTCTAAGCCATGAGGCCGGGAAGGGGCAGACGCAGGATTCAAAGCTGGGTTTTGAGATGCCCAACCCAAGGATCTTTCCCACACCATTGCTGCTTCCTGCCCGGACCCCATTGTCCCTTCTCCATATATCCTTTGTTTTCTCTGCCCAGACGTGACTCAGTATCCATGCCTTCAGGCAACTCTGTCTCACTGACCTGTCTCAATCCCTGGCTCCACTTTCCTTTTCTTCTTCTGGTTCTCCTGGTTTTCTCCTTATGCCTCCTGTGTTTAGGGGCTGAGGCTTGGCTTCCTTCCCTTACCAAGAGCTCCCTGAGGGGGTTAGGGTCAGGACAGGGCTGTGCAGACCTGAGATGCCTGGACTAGGCTGGCAATTGTCCTGACTTGCCTGGGACTGTCCTGTTTAAGCACTGAAAGTCCAGGCCAGGTGGGACCATTGGTCATCCCAGCAGGATCTAAGAGTAGCTTTATCTATGCGTGTTTAATTATTAATGTGTTCTGGGCTTTTTCCAATGCCTTATAGTATTGACTCCATGAGAAGCAGACACTCTGATTCCTTTAAGTACTCAAGCCTCTGGAGGAGGTGAGATCACAGGCGGGTAGAAGCAGCGCTGGGAGCTGAAACCAGCTCGTGTGACTGAATTTCAAGCTCACTCTCTCTTCTGTCCCATGGTGGCTTCTGGAGATGGCCCACTAGATAGTTGCTGAGCAACTGGGAAGGCGTGGAGGCGTGGAGGCTGCCCGCAGAGCCCCTCCCAGCCCTGGGATGTTTCTCACTGCTGCTCCCCAGCACCTCTCTTGCTCTTTCCCACCACACAGCTTTTGGCAGCTGGGATTTCAGCTCCAACTTTATTGCACAAAAACAAAGGAGCATGGGTACTAGGAAAAAACTCTCCTACAGCCTCAATAAATCAACTTACTTCCTATGTTACTTTTTAGGCCACTCATCTCTGCATTCTTAATTTTTCTGAGCTCTCAGGCTGCTCGTTGAATGAGCTTTGCCCATGGTTGCTGAGCGGCGTAGCGCTTCCTAGAACGACAGTCCATCCAGCAATGCTGGCTCACACGTGGTTTGCTACTGGTTTGAAAAGACATATAAACAAAATATGAGAATAACTGTTTAGAAAATTATTCCTTTTAGCAATAGAACAGTTTTGTGTCTGTTAAGTTTAAAATAATAAAATTGAGACTGGTATTTTGCATATCTTAAAAAAAATCTCCCTTTAAGGGTAATTTTTGAAATTCTATTTTAGAAAAGCATTGGTCCATGGTAGATTGGGAATTAAAAAAAAAAAGAAAGAGAGAGAGATTTTTGGAATAATTTGTCTTTTGGTCCAGAAGACAATGGTAGGTCCTGGGAGATGCTCAATGAATCTGCAACCACAGAGCTTTAGTGGCATAGGACCTCAGCTGTTTTGTATTTGAGGAGCCCGAGGTATACAGAGCAGCACATGATGCACCCAGAAAAATGTGGGCAGTCTTGGGCAGGGTCTCTTGGCTTTCGTTTGCACCCAATGACCGCAGAACCATGTTTTTATGTGATTAAAATTTGCGGGGTGTGCATTGGGGGAAGAGTGGGGGACAGAAGCAGAGTGTGGGGAGGTCAGAACAGAACTGTTACCCCACCAGGATCATGCCATGGTGGCAGAAGTCTCCACCCTTGTCCCAGCTCTGGTCCCAAGGCAACTAGACAACCCCTTGCTTTGCCCCAGTCTCCTGGGCGCTCCCCAAAACAAACAACTCAATGGTGGCGTTTCTGAGGAAGCTATCAACCAGTGATTTGGAGGAAACCAGATAGGAGTTTCCAGCAACTCGATCAGGAGAGAATATCGCACTCTGATTTCTAAATGGCGAGAGATGAATGATAAATGATCAAGTTGGGGAAGTTTGTCTACAGTGTGATTTCTGCAACTCAGAGGCGTGAAGTTTTAAACAGATGTTGCTGGCAGGCAAACCAAACATAAATACTCCCCTCCCAGGCTTCAGAAAGTGCCCAGCCCAAACGAGTCCTTGTATATATAGGGACTGAGCCAGACCTCTTGCCAAAGGAGTCATAGTTCCTTCTCTCCCCGGTCTCTGCCTCCTTCTATCCAGTTGGGCCCTTTCTCTTGTCTGCTTCTCTGGATGCGCCAGGAACCATGAGCCGCCAGTTTAGTTCCCAGTCAGCGTTTAGCTCAAGGAGCAGGCGGGTTTACAGCGCTGGCTCCTCTGCGGGCTCCGGTGGTGGGAGTCAGGCTGTGGGGTCTGTGTGCCTGGTCGGAGGGAGGTGTGGCGGTGGTGGGTACGGGAGCCCGGCCAGGGGGTTTGGCTCCAGGAGCCTCTTCAATCTGGGTGGCAGCAGAAGCATCTGCTTCAGCCTAGTGGGGAGAAACGCTAGTGGTTTCCGCCAGGGTGGGGGAGCAGGAGGGGGGTTTGGAGGTGGCAGATGCTTCGGGGGTGGCAGCTTTGTGGGTAGCGGCCTTGGAGGTGGTGGCTTTGGGGGTGGTGGTGCCTTTGGGGGTGGTGGCTTTGGCGGTGCTGGCTATGGAGGAGGTGGCTTGGGGGGTGCTGTGTTTGGAGGCAGCAATTTCAGGCTTGGGGGCTTTGGTCCTTCTTGTCCCCCGGGGGGCATCCAAGAGGTGACCATTAACCAAAGCCTCTTACAACCACTTCACCTGGAGGTGGACCCTGAAATTCAGAGGGTTAAGACCCAGGAGCGGGAGCAGATCATGGTTCTCAATAATAAGTTTGCCTCCTTCATTGACAAGGTGAGTGCCCAGCGACAGGCAGAGTCTCTGGTCTCTGACCAGATGACCTTGTGCCCTGCCGCCTCTCAGCACACTCCGCTGTCTCAGTTTGGTGGTGACAGTCCCTTCCAGATGTCTTGGGACCTTAAGACAGCATTTACTTCACGTAGGCCTCAACTGAGCTCACTGAGGGGATTTTTCTCTATTTTTTCCTTTTGGCAGGAAAGCTGATACGAGGTGTGAAAATATCCAACAGAAAAAAATACATACTGTAATAACCTCATTCTCATCCATCATTTTTCACTTTCCATTCATTCATCCACCCATTCACCCATCCACTTATCTGTCCAGCCACTTATCCATCCACTCATTCACCATCCATCTGTTCATCCATTCATCCATCCACCCATTCTCCATCCATCCATCTGTCCATCCATTCAGCCATCCACCCATTCACTATCCATCCATCTGTCCATCCAACATCCACCCATGCAGCCCACAAACATTACCAAGCATCTACTATATGCCCAACACCTCAGGTGCTACAGGGTGACAAGGACACAGGTCCTGCCCTCAAAGGGCCCCAGATGGAAAGGGAAGAGGATGATGACCAAGAGTGGAAAGTGTGTTAGTAGGGACAGAAATCTCTGGGCCATGGTGGCGCAAAGGAGGGTGTGATGGGCTCTGGGCTGACATAGGTCTTGAAGGAGGAGAGAGTCAAACAGGTTCTCAGGGGAGAGGAAATTTCCAGGGAGAAGAATCAGGAGGCATGAGAGTTTGACACTTTTAGGGAATTTCAAATGGTTAAAATTCCTGGAGAACATGGTTTAACGGAGGGAAGAGGAGAGGGGTGGGGATGGCGCTACAGAGACAGGGCAGGAGAAGCAGGGCGGGTGAACCATGGCAGAGCCAAGATGAGCGCCCTGGTGGGGAAGGCTGGGGGCGAAGGCCAATAGCAGACTATGCAGGATTCTGCGTCCATCATTTTAGCTCATCCTGGGCCAACAATGGGCCAGATGGAGCCAAGGAAGCCGTTCTCCCTAGTTCCTTGATTAGATCTCAGGTTAAGTCTGGTTGGGTCCCAATCACCAAGCAGAGGCTGCACTAGAGGAAGAGCTACGGTAAAGATCTGCCTTCAGCATTTCCTTTTGTCCAGGGATGGAAGCATGGTAGCTGTTGGAGGATCTCTAGAAAGTTCCTTAACTCCTGGGATATGGAGGGAGGCACCCCGGGGCACAGAGGGCCCTATATGCTGGGTGACTTTCCCACAGGAGTTCAGTGTCAAGGACAGAGCTTGACTGGTGGCCTGACTGCAGAGTAGCCATGGCCAAAGTCCACCACTGGGTTGTGTCCCTGGCCTTTGAGATGTGGGCAAACGCTGGGGACAGGACAGTGTGTAGGCTGGGGGCAGAGGGGCCCCAGAGGTAGCCATAGTGCTTCTGGCTACTTCCGATCACTGTGGATGGGAAATTTGGCTGAACAGCATCACACCTCAGGCACAGGCAGGGACTGGGGGTCCTGACTGGAGCAAGGAGGTGACAAGTGAAGGAGACACTACTGGAAGGTCAAGGCTAGCTCAAGGGAGGAGTTGGGAGGAGAGAGGGCTGGGGGTGAGTGAAACGGCCATGGGCTGTGGGCAACGATGTCCTGAGACTCCCATTCGATTGTGCTCCCTGCCATTAACAGGACATCTGTTCTGTTTTATGGCACGGGGCTGAGGGCACAGGCCAGGGTACAGGTGACCAGGGCTTCCTGTCCTTCCTTATGGGCCTGGCCTGTGATGACCATGAGGGGAGAGTCCTCATCCAGGAGGGCTCTGGCCTGGCTGGAGGGGACGCAGGTTCTATTGCAGTGACTTCTGACCCTAGTTTCTGATCTGAGCTTCCTCCTTTTACTCTTAATCCTGTGCAGCTTATTCTCAGCACCACACCAGAGCCACCCTTTAAAAACATAACACATCACTCCTCCATTTGAATCCTCTGTTGGCTTCCTGTTTCATTAAGAACAAAAGCCAAGATCCTTTCCGGCCCTATATGGTCTGATCCTCTAACCCACAGCTGCTGGGAACCCCCTGCTTGCGCTTGTGAAAATCAGGCAACATTGTGGCCACCGGGTGCAACAGTCCTCAAGCTGAAAGGTTTAGTGAGCAGCGTGAAGGCTCTGGGTGCACACGTGCATGTGTGCGTGTGTGTGTGTGCGTGCGTGCATGTGTGTGTGTACACACCTGAGCAAAGCATGGAGACATCCATTGTCCTCACCTAAGACGTGGGAGGGAAGGCTCCCTCTGCAGGCAGCCGGCAGAGGTAAAATGAGAGTTGATCATCATGTGAAGGAGAGTCCATGCACTTGGTCTGCGTAGCCAACCAGCTCTCTGGACCCTGTACCTGACATTCACATGCACAGTGCTGGGGGGAGAGGCAGTGAGAATACAGAGTGATGTCCACTCTCCATCGTCCTTGCTAATGAAGGGGAGAGTTCCAAACATGAGACAACTCCCATTTCTTTACTTTGGGGCACCAGAGTGCATCACACATTGACATTTTTTTTCTTTTACTTTTAAGATTCTGTCTGGGTTATGAAAGCATTGAAATGAGGTGACCTTCTTGAAAAACATACTGGTCAGTGGCAGAGGTGGCGGGGTCTGCAGGGTGAGGACATGTGGGCAAGTTTGCTCAGGAATCAGTTTAATATTTTAAGCCGAATTGTCCCTCCGCTCTTATTTTCTCCTTTCCTCAATCACATGAAGTGCTTCAACCACAAAGAGAAATGAACCTTGGATGGGTCAGTGTTTCAGATGCTCTGGACCACCATTTCCTGATGTTGGCATGGAGAAACTGAGTGTGGGGAGGGACAGCTGTAAAACATAAATGGGTGGAGCCAAAGGAAACAGGGCACTCAGTTGACAGGGACTTGCCTTCATTGCCAGAGTCAGCTTAGTGTTAATTTTAGGGAGGTTGACTTTATGGTCATTCATCAACCATCAGAAACCACACTGGGTTCATGTGTCCTGGTTCCAGAAAGAGAGACTTCTGACCCCTAGGGGGGCTGTCCTGATTCTCTGAGGTCTGGATATACTGTGAGGCTGCTGATTCTCCTACCTGTGGAGGTGCTTCCCTAACTCACAGCCTGGGAGTGAACCTGGAGGTCTCTTGTTCTCAGGTGCGATTTCTGGAGCAGCAGAATCAGGTGCTACAAACAAAGTGGGAGCTGCTGCAGCAGGTAAACACGTCCACTAGGACCAACAACCTGGAGCCCATCTTGGAGAGCTATATCAGCAACCTGCGGAGGCAGGTGGATTTTCTCAATACGGAGAAGAAGCGCCAGAATATGGAGATCAGGAACATGCAGGACGCCGTGGAGGACTTCAAGAACAAGTGAGGCTCCCGGAGGAGCAAATGTGTCAGGAGCAGCGAGGCAGGGGACTGATTCACGGAGCAAGGGGTTCTGCTTACTATTAACGTGTTGGGGTGATGGGGCCAGAGCCACCAGGTGCAGCCAGGCAGGGTCTGCGCTACACAACCATAGGGACACCATTTTGCTTATGGTAGCCCTGGCGATGGTATGGCCAGTCGGCTCCCAACTGTATCGGGTGGGGAGGGGACGCTTCATGGATGTTGGAGCCAGGTAAGCCCAAGTTCCAGTGTGGGCTTTTCACTTCCTGGCTGCCTGCAAGGTCATCTTTCTAAGCTTTTAGTTTTCACATTAGTAAAGGGGGGATAGTAAGTGCCATCCTTGTTGGATTGTTGTGAGGTGTAGACGGGTAGTATGCATCAGCTTGTTAAAATCAGATTGATCGAGTAGGTCTGGGATGGGGTCAGAGTGTTTGCCTTTCTAATATGCTTCCAAGTGATGCTGATGCTGATGCTGATGCTGGTGGACTGGGGACCATATGTGGAAAACCACTGGTTTAGACGAAATTATTCTTAATACGTTCTTAGGCTGTGTGTGCAGGTACGAAGCATTCAGTAAGCACTAGCTATTATTAATAATAATCGTAGGGGTGACAGGACTTGCCTGAATCTAGGTCAGCTGCTCCTGCACCGTGCAGGCAATTGAGCGGCCTCTCCCCTCCATGCTGGGGGTGCAAGATGCTTCTCTTTACATCACCTGGGCCAGTAGAGAGTCAGGTTCATGTGAGTCAACAGGCAGAGATGAAATGCACCCTGAAGGTGATGGGGGTGTAGAATGGCAGGTGAAAAAATTTTCTTGTTAAAAACATTTACTGAAAGTGATTATTACTTTAGTTCTTAGTTAAAAAAATGATCGAGCTTGACATATTTACAAAGGTCACACATCAAAATAAAAAGGACATTTGTGGGGCATTCTATGTGGCTTTGGGTTTTCCATATTGTGATGTTGCCCCTCTGTTGAGCTGGAGAGCCAGGAGGTGGTTCTAGCTGCTTGTCAGGGAGAGCGGCGGGCCCTGGCAGGGAATGTCGAGTCCAGGGCAGTAAAAGTTTGGGGAACTCCGAGCCTCCTGCTATGGCAGAATCTCAAGGTGCTCAGCTCAGCCCCTGCAGCCTGTCCGAGGTTCTGACACCCCCCTCCCCCCAGGTATGAGGAAGAAGTCAACCGGAGGAACAACAGCGAGAATGACTTTGTCGTCCTGAAGAAGGTGAGGATTAGGGGAGTCTCAGGGGGGACTGTGGGCTCAGGAGGCTGAGCAGAGGGAGGGCTTCCCGTGGGATGCTGTGTGACCGAGGGGTGGACAGGTGGGCTTGGGGCCAGCCTATTGAACATGTTTCCCAAATGCTGGGGCCCTGGCATTGAAGCAGTAAGCCTGAAAGCGATGCTAATATGAAGCTTTAGGAATCCTTGAGTTTTTCATCTCTCCAGGGTCCTGAATGTGGGATTCAATTAACAGGCAGCCTTTGAGTGTCAGTTATGTGGAGACTTAGGACATGGGAAGGGACCTGGGGAGGGACCTGGGGTATTTTGTGTGACTGATGGGGCTGAAGAGCTGGTGAATGCTTCCTTATGACCAGGAAAGCCGGGGTTTACTGGTCTCTTATTTGAGTGAAGTGAGGAAATTTGCAGGCAGGGAAATAAACCCAGAGAGGCTTTGCCTCTTGCATGAGGTCACCCAGACAGCTGGTGGCAGGCAACACTTGGGCAATAAAGTCAGACTGTCTTGGCTTGCTGTTCAGGATGTGGATGCAGCTTATTTGAACAAAGAGGATCTGCAGTCCAAGTTGAATGTTCTGCTTCAGGAGGTCGATTTCCAGAATTGTGTAATTCAATCGGTGAGTGAATATCTCCACTACGTAGATGAGATGATGAGTTCAGTCCTCCTAAGAAACCCTTCTTTTTTCTACATCTGACAAGGGGTATAGGCTGTAAGAGGGGGAGGGCTGGAACCAAACATTTCCCACTAGGGGTGTCTCTCCTCAGTCACCTCAACTCAGTGGGCCTGACATCAGCCATCCTCCCAACCCCCAAAGCTCAAGATTCCAGGGTTGGGGAGCTGGAGATGGGAGGCAGGAGAAGGTGAAGCAGTCCCCACTTTGGTCTGGGAAATGAGGTTAACACCCGGGACATAGAGGGGCAACCAGAAATCTTCGTGGGTGCTGGGAAGTCAGTGGGGCTATCAGGGAACTCTGTGGGAGAGGACAGTGTGGATCTTAAAGGGAACAGAGATGAAGACTGTGGAGGTGGGCGATGACACGCTCCTACTCCCCTGGTCCCATTATTGAGGATCTAACTTGGGGTTACCTGCTGTGGGCCAGATGCTGTGCTGGGAGCTTTCCTGGGTCTTGGGTATCCCCAGTCTACAGATGAGAGAACTGAGGCAAGAGACACCCAGCTGGTTAATGGTGGAGCCCAGACTCAAAAGCGAGTCTGAACGCCTACACAAATGGAATCTTATCTATTGCCTCTGAGAGTTTGTGTGGTTTCAAGGAGCAAGCCTGCCTGTCAAGATGGCAGCCAAGTCAGATAAGGCAAGGATGGAGGGTCCAGGAGAGGTGTGATGGGCTCTGAGTTCCGGCTCCTTTCTTCTCCCTGGAGGCTAGGTCTGGGTGCCTGTATCTTTAGTGAAGGTGCCTCTTGGTGCACAACAACAATCCAAGGAACTTTCCCCTGAGGCTCCTGTCTGACCCAGGCTTCTGGCTTCCCCAGAGAGCTTTGGGGACAGTGGAGGGAAACTGAAGTCCCAGGAGGTGAGCAGAAGAAGTCAGCCTGTGCTTCGTGCCTTGCAGGAGCCGTCTCACATGTATACTAATGTAACGAACACCAATGTCATCCTGTCCATGGACAATAACCGCTTCCTGGATCTGGACAGCATCATTGATGCGGTGCGGACGGAGTACGAGCTGATCACACAGAAGAGCAAGGCTGAGGCTGAGGCGCTATACCAGACCAAGGTGAGCACTGCCATCCCCAGCCCAGACTTGGCACCCCTGAACAAAACGTGCCTCCCAGAACACGTATGGACTTTCTAAAATAAAATATGTTTGTTATAGGAGATGTCAAGATTGCAGATAAAGATCACTCATATCCCACTACCATTTTAAATATGTCAGCATATTTTCCATCAGTTCTTGGCAGCTAACATGTATTGAAAACTCCCAGGTACCTGGCATCGCTAAGTGCTTTACATATATTATTTCATGAACTCCTTACAACTACCCGACAAGGTAAAGATTTGATTATCCCTATTTTACAGATAATAGAGTCTGAAATCATCTAATTTCCCTCACGTCTTGTGGCTGGGAAGCAGCAGAGGCAGAATTTAATTAAACTCAAGTGTGCTACCTACCAATCCCTGCACTCAACCACCACAATGTTTTTTATTCTGATTTTTTCATAATGACATCTTTAAAAATACAGTTTTGTACTTGTCTCTTTCACTTATTGCTTATGAATGCCTTTCCGGACATCAAATATTCTATATCATTTTTAACAGCAGCATGGTATTCCATGGTAAGAACATGCCCCCAATTATCAGATAAACATCTTTGTAGCTAAGTCGTTGGGCACATCCTTGGTAACTTGTTTAACATAAATAGACCTGGACCTTTCTATAAGGTGAAGACTGAAGTTCAGAGTCAAAGGCTAGTCACTTAAATTCTGAACACCTAGCACTCGGACAGCTTTGTAGATTACCTGTGGCCAACTCCAATGCCCGCTGACCTCTGTCCCGCTGCCCTGTAGGCAGACGTTCTTAGTGGCATGGATTTTGGCATCATACTGGGGAGGCAGGTGGTCAACATGAAAGTTAAATGCAGAGATACCCGTGCGCCAGCCCTCCCCCTTGCTTCCTTCATTACAGTGGTTGAAAGCATGGGTTTGTAGAGGGGCTGTGGGTAGAGTTTCCATTGATGGGGCCACATAGATGCAGAAATGGAGACAGGAAGATGCGAATAATTGTGGAGCATGCTGAGGACCTGTGAGGAAATGAGGTCCTGATGTTAGGGAAATCATTCTGGAAAAGGGTAGGAAGGAATATGGTGGGGTAGAAAAAGTGAGAGGGCCCCCAAAGGGTAAGGCTTAGATGTGAGCAAAGGAGATAAAAGAGCATCAAGAAGCAGGTCTGTCTGTTGGGGATGTGGGTCTGGCCCAGGGACTGATGGGAATGAAGGAGGCTCATACCTTGGTGTTGATGGAGAGGGTGGACTTCCTGATTTTGAATCTCTGTCTCAAAACACAGGTGTGTGTGTATGTGTGTGTGTGTATGTTGTCACAGCTCAGATGAGGGAGGTTCTGTATAGGTGTGAGTGTGTATGTGGTCACAGCTCTAGGGAGGCTTACTCTAGGACCTTGCCTGGGGAAGAGAGACTTGGGCGGGGTCTGGGAAGGCAGACCCACTCCTTCCTGGGGGAGCTGGTGTTGAGCAGCAGGCTGACCATGATGCTGCTCTTGACCCTCAGTACCAGGAGCTCCAGATCTCAGCGGGAAGACACGGAGATGAGCTGAAGACCAGCAAGATGGAGATCTCGGAGCTCAACCTCACCATCCAGAGGCTGCAGTCAGAGATCAGCAACATCAAGAAGCAGGTGAGATGGGTGTTCAGGGTGGCCGACCAGATGTGCCACTTCCCATAATGCTCTGCTTCTGGAGGCTCTTGAAACTCACCACCCTGCATGGTTCTTCTCCATGACCATCTCCCGAGCAGATCGACCAGATGCACATGGCCATTTCGGATGCAGAGGAGAGAGGAGATCGGACCCTCCAGGATGCGCAGCAGAAGCTGCAGGACATAGAGGCCGCCCTGCAGCAGTCCAAGGAGGAGATGACTCGGCTGCTGCGTGACTACCAGGCGCTGCTGGGAGTCAAGCTGGCCCTGGACGTGGAGATCGCCACCTACCGCAAGCTGCTGGAGGGCGAGGAGTGCAGGTGGGCTTGTTTCTGGGGCCGAGGCGCAGGTTGCAGCTGGAGCAGTGGGACTATTTGGAGAGAAGACAATCCCAGCTTTTCTGGGAAGGTTGGTAGCCCAGGGTGAGCAGAAATGTTCAAGTCAGAAGCAGAGGGTGTGTGAGTTGGCCGGGTCATTGTCATCATTGCCCCGCCTCCAAGCAGACAGTCCCCGTACCCCAACCAAAGCTGCAGCCAGGTGGTGACCCCCCAGTGCTAAAAGACTTCACGAAAATGTTTAAAATCCCCTCTGGTCCCACCGGCTCCCCGACCTTCCTGCCCTGCACACGCCTTCCCTGCTCCCAATGTCTCCAGGCTGCTGCCTGTGTTCTGACCTTCAGGCCTTGTGAGTTTGGCTGATGTGTGGGCTTTGGTTTTACAGGATGTCAGGGGAGCTGCAGAGCCACGTCAGTGTCTGTAAGTAGCAGAACCCAGGAGTGGGCTTGGCTGGTGCCGGGAGAGGGAGGGTCCAGGAGGGCTGGCCAGCAGGGACCTGGCAGTGGGCATTTTCGTGTTCAGTCCTACACAATGAAAACCAAAGTAAATGAACACCACTGCAAAGCCGGGAGAAATTGGATGCAATAAATTGTTATGATGTTAGTTCTTCTTTGTCTTGATTTCTATGATACCTAATAATCAGCAGTGGCTTAGAACTCTTTAGGGTATAGCAATAATGAAAATGTGCCCTGACATCCCTTTGTAGCATGAGGAATACTTTTGAAATGGGGATACCTTCACCAATGTATCTTTTGTCAAGTCAGACGCTGCCAGTGATGAAGGATGTAGGGGGCTGCCTCAAGGGTGGGTGCAGGCGGGGCCCTCTGCCCAGTCCTGCTCACCCCAGTCCTACCCTCCCCCCACAGCTGTGCACAGCAGCCAAGTGAGCGTCAGCGGAGGGGGCCGAGGCTCTGGAGGTTACAGCGGTATTTACAGCGGCGGCAGCAGCGGAGGCTACAGCGGCGGCGGCGGCTCCCGCGGGGGCGC